GATGAGGAGGAGGATGAGGAGAAGGAGGAGGAGGGGGAGGAGGAGGAGGAGGAGGAGGAGGCGGAGGAGGAGGAGGAGGAGAACGAAGAATGTGATGCTGAGATAGAGGAGTAGGATAAGGAGGAGGATGAGGATGAGGTTGTTGATGTTGATGCTGATGATGCTGATGATGCTGATGATGTTGCTGATGATGCTGCTGTTGATGATGCTGCTGATGATGATGATTATGATGATGCTGCTGTTGATGATGATGATGATGCTGCTGATTATGCTGATGATGCTGATGATGATGCTGCTGATGATGACGATGGTGCTGATGATGACGATGATGATGGTGATGCTGATGATGAAGATGATGATGCTGATGATGATGCTGATGATGATGCGGCTGCTGCTGATGCTGATGATGCTGATGATGATGCTGATGATGATACTAATGAGGATGATGATGTTGATGACGATGATGGTGACGATGATGGTGATGATGATGAGAATGATGATGATGATGATGATGATGATGATGATGATGATGATGATGATGATGATGATGATGTGCTTGATGCTTGATGCCTGATGATAGTGATGCTATGGTGATGATTGACGATTCTTGATAATGGTGATGATGATGAGTGACCAAATGATGATGATGATGATGATGATGATGATGATGATGATGATGATGATGATGATGATGATGATGATGATGATGATGATGATGATGATGATGATGATGATGATGGTGGTGGTGGTGATGATGGTGGTGATGATGGTGAGGAGCAGGAGGAGGATGAGCAGGAGGAGGAGGAGGAGGAGAAGGATGAGGAGGAAGAGAGGTCGGAGGAGGAGGAGGAGGTCCGCGCAAGGTAGAACAAGAGGACGATGAGAAAAGGGAGGAGGAGGAGGAGGAGGAGGAGGAGGAGGAGAGCAGCAGGAGGAGGAGGCAGGAGGGGGAGGAGGAGGAGGAGAGGGGGAGGAGGAGGAGGAGGAGGACGAGGATGGAGGAGGAGGAGAGGAAGGAGGAGGAGAGGAGGAGGAGGAGGGAGGAGGAGGAGGAGGAGGAGGAGCAGGAAAAGGAGGAGGAGGTGGAGGATGGACGAGGAGACGGATGAGCGAGGAGCGGGCGAGGCCGCGGGCTCGAGGTGGTCCGACACCCCTTGCTGCAGCGCGGCGCCACCAGGGCTCCTCCGAGGGCTTCCTGCAGGTTCGTTCCTCGGAGGAGGGCGCGGGGGGGCAGAGGTCTGTTCGCGGGCTGGGGGTAGGGGGGGGGGGGCGCAAAGCCTCAGAGGAGGATGATGACGGACGGGGGAGGCAGAGAGAGAGGGGGGAAGGATGGGGGAAGAGAAGGCGGCGGAGGAGGAGGAGGAGAAGGAGGAGGAGGAGGAGGAGCAGGAGGAGGAGGAGAGGAGGAGAAAGGAGGAGGAGGAAGGAGGAGGAGGACAATAATGAGGATAACGGGGTAGGAGCGGGAGGAGGGGGACGAGGAGGAGGGGGGTGGAGGAGCAGAGGGAGGACGGAGAGGAGGAGGCAAAGGAGGAGGGGGAGGGCCCGCAGTCTTGTGGCCTTTCCTCCCCCCCCGCTGCTGCCCAGGCTCACCTGTGGGCCACGTGGGCGCAGCAGACTCGCGCAGGATTCTCGGCGGCGGAGAATATCGAGAACCGTTCGTGCCAGCTCAATGTAGGCCTCCTCCGCCTCCTCCTCCTCTGCCACCTCCTTTTCCTTCGCCTCCTCCTCCCCCTCCTCCTCCTCCTCCTCCTCGCTTTCCTCCTCCTCCTCCTCCTCCTCCTCCTCCTCCTCCTCCTCCATCCCTTGTCCTTACGAATCATTGCTCCCTGTCGCACCCCGAGGCCAGTTTTTAGGGCGGGCCGGGCGTTTCGCCTGAGACTTCCTTCGGGGCTCAAGAGACAGGGGTCAATGCAAATGGGGGCCAGCCAGGGCACCGGATCCTGCAGGATTATGCGAAGACCCCCTCTGGCTGACCCGGTTTAGCGAACCGCTCGTGACCGCGAGGCGGCCGCGCATATTGGCTGACCCGGGTTTGCGAAGACCTGCGTTGCAGTTTGTTTCCTGCATTGCAGTTTTTGGTTTCTTGCTGACCCGGGTCTGGATTGACCCGGGCCAGAAGATCCCCGAGTCCTCACCATTTGTGACCCTGAAGCTTAACAAATGACAACAGTTGCACGAACCGAGGGCGGGTGGTTTTCAACGTGTGGCTATCGCATTAGCGCGGCGCACATTCGTTGTAAACATTTGCAATACTTTCACGGGTTGAGGGCGGGTGGTTTTCAAGCTGTGGTTGTCGCCTCATCGCGGCGCGCATTCGTTTTAAACACCTGCAAGAGCTTCACGGATTGAGGGCGGGTGGTTTTCAAACAGTGGTTCTCGCCTCAGCGCGGCGCACCTTCGTTTCAAACAATTGTAAGAATTTCACGGGCTGAGGGCGGCTGGTTTTCAATATGTGCTTCTCGCCTTAGCGTTGCGTGCATTCTTTGAAACATTTGCAAGTGTTTCACGAATTGTGGGCGGATGGTTTTCAACATGTGGTTTTCGCTTGAAGGTGGAGAACCAAGAGTGCAAGGGTTCCACGGATTCCCAACATCAGCGTGTCAGAGGTGGTGATTGTTTTGTAAAAAAGGTTGAGGATCATGCTGGTGCAGCAATTCTGTGGCTTCGCTGTGTTGAAGTCCCAGGAATGCCGTTCTGGCGCGATTCAGGATTGTCAAGACGCAGCAGTCAGGTTGATCCGCGGCGTTGGAATCTCAATTATAATGATTTGGCATACTTAAGGATCTTCAAATGGTTCAGTGGAAGTGAACCGTTTTAGGGGCCTATGAAGAGGGAGGTTGAAGGGAAGGTTGATCCCAACGTCGTTAAAGACTCTTGGGTTTACACCGTTCCTCATCCTCCTCCTCTTCCTCCTCCTCCTCCTCCTCCTCCTCCTCCCCCTTCGTCTCCTTCTCCTCCTCCTCTCCTTTCTTCTTCTCTCCTCCTCATCCTCCTCCTTTTCCTCCCCCTACCCCTCCTCCTTCGCCTCTTGATCCTCCTGCTTTTTCGCTTCTTCGTCTTCTTCTTCCTTATCCTCCTCCTCCTCCTCATCCTCCTTCTTTCCGTCCTCCACCTCCTCCTCCTCTTCCTCCTCCTCCTCCTCCCCTTCCTCTTCCTTTTCTTCCGTAACCATGTTGGCTCAAGATTCGAGCTGTCCCTGACAGAGAAGCGGATATCGCTGCTCTGCCCTGTCTTCCTATTGGTTGTGCGTGACCCGGTCCGCCCCAGGTAGCGGCCTGCATTCCGTGCCACGGTGTCAGCATCATGAATTCCAGTAAACCCTTGGAGGAGCAGCGATGCCCGGACGACGGCGGCAGACCCATGCCACCGCCCAGCGGGCACAAGCAGGAGAGGATGACGCAGGCGAAGGCGTGGTACTGTCGTTTGAGCTGGCGCCCGAGCTGCGGCGGTGCAGCCACGCGGGCGTTCTCGCGTGCATGATGTGTTCACGTGGCAAACGCACAGCGCTCCACTCGTCCAAGTCCTGGCTCTCCCGTCTGAGTCTGCTAGGGCTGGTGCAGACCAGGGTTCGGACAAGGGCGGTGACAAGGGACACTGGCAATGGGAGGTGCGCAGGCTGGGCTACGAAATTGCAATCGGAGCTCACGCAGGCCAAGTCCGAGCTTTCCAAGGCCAAGGCACAACCAAACCAATTGGCTATGGAGGTCGACAAGAACGACGCCCAGCTCAAGGCGGAAACAAACTCTGAGCGTGCAAGAGAGTTGCGCGCGGCTCTCGACGGAATCGAGCACGTGGCAGATTCTTTAGGTAGAGTGCGGGGGGCCTCATGAGCACTATGCGGCTGAGCTGGCGGAGCGACGAGCAAAGCACATGGGCCAGAAGCCGCTTTCGATCCATATCTATTCCATCGCGCAGCAGATCCTGGGGCGTGAGGGCAAACCGAAGGTCAATCGTGAATCCTTGTCAAGCAACTAGACAAGATGCGCGAGCTGCAGGCCCATCGCGAGGATGTCACGGAGATGCTGGGGTCCATCCAGAAGGAGATCACGGCGCTGGAGGCGTAGCGGGCTAAAGTGGCGGCGCAGTAGCGTAGTAGCCTCAGCCGACCACGTCGAAGGCGCCAAGGCGTCGCTGGAGGCGGTGCTGCTTCGCGTCCATATGTCGTTTGAAAAGACCAGGCGGCGCAGATGAGCAGGCGGCGCGAGACATGCATTCGGCAGCAGGCCGCGTGCGAGAGGCGGCGGCGCAGGCGCAGGCGCATCGCCGGGCGGATCTGGAGAAGCAGAGGGCCGAGGCGGTGGCAGCGGCGACGGCCAGCGGGGTGCCGGCAGCCGGGGCTCGCAGCCAGCGTCGCCGCCGCCTCAGCAAGAAAAGCGGGCAGGCGGCCCGTCGGCAGGGTCAGCGTTGCCCCTTTCCTGCGGGCGATGTTGCTGACGAGCCTGACCATCTGGGCGCTCCTGCTCGCCATGTGGTCCGCGGTGCCCGACGGTGAGTCCGAGCTTCGCGAAGCGGCCGAGATGTGCTGCGGCGGCTTGCATATTCTACACCAAGCGCCAGCGCGCTGGCGCGACCTCTGGCAAGTTGTTTGCGGTGTCGCCAATGGTCAGATTGTTTCTCGCGGTGATGACGTCAGCCACTTTTGTCCAGCGCATGAAGGCTTCACCGCGCGTGCCCAGAGCGCGAGCCCCGAGTGCCACGGTCTCGGCGCATCGCCCTGGGCGAAACATCGCCGGAGTTCTGCCGCGCGTTAGTTCGCGAACCTTGGGTGCCGCAGCTTTGGGCGCAGAGCCGTGGGCCCAACGTCGCCGCTGTTTTGCCGGTCTATCGGGGGCACCCAAACGGGGTGGTGACCGCGCCGCGCGGTGAGTCGGCGGGGATTCGGGGTCACCGCGCGGTTGTGGGATTCGGGTCGTTCTCCGAGGATGTCCCGGGCGACTGGGGCCTCCAGGGCCCCAAAACCGTGCGCTGACGGACCGCGCGGCGAGTTCTTGGGGGATTTCGAGGTCGCCGCGCGGTCTGTCACCGCGCCGTTTCGGGGCTCCAAAGTCTAGCCGCGCGGAGTGGCATCGAGCGCCGCGTGGGCCGCCGACTTCGGCCTCTGAGGACTACTCCCCGCGTGGGGGCGGAAGGTGTAGAGGGCCGCGCTTTAGTCGGGGCGCCCCCCGGCGGGGGCCGACGTCGCCAGTGGGGCCCCCCCCGTCGGGGAAACTGCGACGCGTCTCGCGGCGCGCGGGTCGACTGGGGCCCGAGGGGGGGGCGCCTGACATCGCGAAAGGCACTGCGGCCACGGTTGGCGGGAGGGCGGCTCGCGCGCGCCCCCTCCGCGGCGTCTGGGGGCCGCGGCGTGGCGAACGAGGTGGAGCTGCAGTTTTTGCTGGAGGCCTTGAGCCAGATGACCTGGCGGATGCCCCGCTGGCGGCCGACGTGCCCCCCCGAGGCCGAGGGGTGCGCGACCGCGACCAACGTTTCGTTCTACGGCGAGTCAGAGGCGTCGATGGCAAGCGACGCGTTCGACAGCGACGGCGCCCCTATCAAGGAACGCCGCGCGGGAGTCTGCGAGGTGGAGGACGCGCAGCAGAGGGCCCGCGCCCTGCGCCGCCGCGGAGTCCGAAACGCGGCGGCGCAGCCGACGGGTGGCGGCGCGCATGGCGGTTGCGCTGTGATATCCAATATGGGCGCGCAGGCGCCGCCCTTGCCACGACGCGTGGCGCTCTGTCCCTGGCAGGGCGGCGGCGGGCCAAGTGCGTCGAGGCCTAGCTGGCGGAGGGGTAGTGGTCTCGGTCTGCCTGCGTGATTCAGCTGGGCTGCGCGCCGCCAACTTTGAGATCACGCGGGCGCCCGGCCACTGCGTCTTGGACGTGGCCAGCAAAAGTCACGCGTGGATGATCGTGGCCAGCTTCGACCGGCCTCTCGAGAAGCTGGGGCAACGGTGCAACTCAGTGGGCATTGCGCTGCTGTCGTCGTCTGCGATCGTCTTCAGGCAGAAGCGGCCGGGCTTGTCTGGGTTCCTCCGGGGTTGACGCGGAACCCTCGCGCAGAGTCCAGGGGCCCGATCGTCGAGGTGGTCGAGCGTGCTGGCGCGCGCCCGCGCAAGCCTGTCAGACTGCCACTGTGAGGGCGAGGCCGCCCGCGTTGGCGCCCAGGCGCGCGGCGGGCCTCGGCGTCCGAGGCAGTCGCTCCCCCCGGGCGTTCCAGACCGCCCGAGCAGGAGCTGCGCGGGCGATGCGACATTGTTTTTGGGGGGGGGGGGGGGGGTAGGGGGGGGGGGGGCTTGCTGTTGCTTCGGAAGTTTCCTCGGCGCCCGCCGCGCGGCCGCCCCCCTGCGCGAGGGGCGGCCTCGGGCGCGCGGGCAGCGGCGGCGAGCTGAGCCAGGCATCCGCGCAGGGTCAGCGAAATCTCGCCGGCGGGACCTCTCGGATCGCGTCGAGCAGGGGGGCTGGCATGTTGTTTGAAGCAGTTGTTTCCAAGATTGGGGTGCTGCTGCGTGGCGCGGATTCCTGCTATGGTCGCCTCCTGATGCGGCGCTGGGCGCTTGCGGCTACCCTTCTGTGTTTGAATCTGTGTTATCAAACAAAACATGCTGTATGTTCTAGGCGCTCATGTATTTGACGTTGTGGGTT